AAGAGATTTTTGGTGGCCACAAATGTGGAAGTCAGTCAAAGACTTTGTACAATCATGTGATATTTGTTCAAGATCAAAAATTCCTCGTCATCGACCTTACGGACTTCTTCAGCCATTACCTATACCAGAACAACCATGGTCTTCTGTTTCTATGGATTTCATCACAGATCTTCCAAGCTCAAGATCTTATGATTCTATATTTGTGATAGTAGATCGTTTCACCAAGATGGCACATTTTGTGCCATGTACAAAATCTATCTTAGGTGAAGAAACAGCTAAGCTTTTCATTGATAATATCTATCGCTATCATGGATTACCTAAAGATATCATATCAGATAGGGGAACTCAATTTGTGTCAAGATTTTGGAGGACCCTTTTCAAGATTTTAAAAGTGGACATAAAGCTATCTTCGACTTTCCATCCTCAAACTGATGGACAAACAGAGCGCGTAAACCAAGTCTTGGAGCAATATTTAAGGTGTACTATCAACTATCAACAAGATGATTGGACAACCTTTCTGCCATTGGCAGAGTTTGCTTATAATAATACGGTACATTCTTCCACGCAACAAATACCTTTCTTTGCCAATTATGGCTATCATCTACGACTTGATACTTTTGATTTTTCAAAAGTTGATAATCCTGCAGCAGAAGATATGGCAAATCGGTTGTCAAAGTTACATGCAATAATGAAGACGCAATTGAAGGAAGCTCAAGAACGACAAAAAATAAACGCAGATCTATATCGTAAGGAGCAACCACAAATCAACGTGGGTAATAAGGTATGGCTACTTCGTCGCAATATCAAGACTACTCGACCTTGTGACAAGTTGGACTATCGTAGGCTTGGCCCCTTTTCTGTTTCTGAACAGATCAACCTAGTTGCATATCGGTTACATCTACCGGAGTCAATGAAGTTCCATCCTCTATTCCACGTGTCTCTTCTTGAACCATATAAGACAGTAGATATACAAGGAAGAAGACAAATGCCACCGCCTTCCATAGAAGTAGATAATAATAAAGAATTTGAGGTGGAAGAGACATTAGACTCAAGGCGGTGCCAAAATAAGCTGGAATATCTAGTTCATTGGCGCGGATATGACATTAGTGAACGCACATGGGAGCCATCCAGGAATCTAGCAAATGCATCAGCTAAAGTCAAAGTTTTTCATCAACGACATCCATCAAAACTAAGATGAAAATCTCTCTTATAAAAGAGACAAGATTGAGGCAAGATAACATTCAATTTCCTATCCTTGTTTGTAACTTCTTTGCATTTGTGACGCTAATTAGATGGAGAACCAACAACCAGTGGATTCAACTCAAGAACCTTCGTTTGCTGACCTGTCGGATGAGACATTACGATTGTCACAACCTTCAAGACGACACAATCGAGATGAAGATCTTCAAGAACGACATGTTCTTCCTTGAATAGATGGTGAGATACAACGCGTTTGGTATCACGATTTGGGAAGGGACTCTCGATGTTTGGTGATTTTGTTAGAGGTAGGAACAACTCCTGATGGTGTTCCGAATATTCTATTCGAAGGACGTTACGAAGGCCTCAACAATGATCAAATAATTGGGTGGTCTTCCCGCCGTGGTATGGGACACTACCGATGGTTGAGAGGCCCTATCAATCATCTTCGAAGAGAACAGAGATCAAAGTATGTGGCAAATACAATTCGTCGCATCATAGATTTCCTCAACATATGATGACCGCTCCTCGTGGAACTCGTCTCTAGAAAGGGGGGTAATGTCACGGCCATAATCATGTAAGCTAATAATTACATATAGAAATAGGTAGAAGTAAGTAAAAGTAGATAAAAGTAAGTTAATTCTATAATATTTAATATAGAAGCTTCCTAGAAACTTCCTAGACGTTGCTTTGACTTCATAGGTGTCTTTAATTGACTTTTTGGATTAAAAACGTGGTCAATAAGTTGGCCATGTGCCACACATGTTGTTAGCTTGAAGATCAAGCTAACTATGTGGCCCACACGTAGAAAAACTTGCCTTGTAAGTCAAGGCATGTGTCCTACAAAGTCAACACATATTGGAGGTCCTATAGAACGTCGCCACGTAGCTCCTAATTAGATAGTATATATAGAGACAAGAGTGAAGGCTTCTTCACTCTTGTCAACTCCTTTCTTGCTTCTAGTCTAGTTTCAAGGGTCTCTAGTTTTCTTGTCTTTTGGCAATAGCCATTCCAGTTTCTATTTCAATATATATACTTGTTTATATATATTTTGTTACCTCTCTTTGAGTGAAGGCTCGCTTGTCTGAATTGTTTTTCATCGAATTCTTGTCCTTGACACATATCTATACATTTTTATAACAATTTAAAGGTAAAATCAAAATAGAGAACCTTCATGTGCATTCAATAGTATTTTTAGAACTTTTAAAAGCTCTTCTTTTACAAAAGTCAAAATCCTAAAATCAAAATTAAAGTTGTTATATCTTTTATACTAAAAACTTGTAGAGCAAGTTATTTATATTATTAGAATTATAGATTGAAAAAAATAAAGGTCAAGAAAAATTCCAAAAATAAGAGAGACAATCTTCAAAAATAAAGGAGTTAAAAAATTAGAAATATCCATATAGTTTTAAATACTAAAATTTTAACTCTTCAAGTCTAAACCTAAATCCTAAATTCTAAATTCTAAACTTAAATCTTAGATAATAAATTTAAAACCTAAATCTTAAATTCTAAACCTAAATTCTAAACTTAAATAAATTTAAATACCTATTCAAAATTGATAATATAATCGAATATATAAATATTTTTGTGTGTTGAAAGTCAAAATTCTAAAATTCAAATAAAAGTTATTATATTCTATAAACTAAGAACTTTTTGAGTAAGTTACTTAGATCTTTAGAATTATAAAATTCAAAAATGAGACAAAGATTAAATAAAATAAAATTATATATATATATATCAAAAAATCAAGTGCATTAATATAATCATGAATCTTAAGTCCTACTAAATTATAAAAAATAAAAGATATAAGTAGATTTATCAATAAAAAAATCTTTACCTTCTTAATGATATCAAAAAATATGATTTTAAGCTATTATAAATAAATAATGAATGTTTAGAGATAAATAATAATAAAATAAAATATTAAATATATGGATTTTACTTTGAAAATAACTTGATTAAGAAGTTTAAGATTTGAGCTTCACTAAGCCTCACAAAGTAGTAGATAGGGTGTCCTAGAGGAACCACAAGGCCTTAGTCTTATCCTTCTACATACATCCAAGGTGCTACAATCTATGTAGGATATATGCATCTTTCTTTCCACAATACATGTAATAAAAAAAAATATTTTGCTAAAGCAAATCATTGACTAATAGCTAAAATAGTAGTAGTAGGAAGAAAGGTGTATATGTTTCCTATGGCTTGTAGCACCTTGGATATAGGTAGAAAAATAAGACTAAGGCCTTGTGGTTCATTTAAGGTACTTTACATATTACTTTGTCTTCTTGAGTGAGACTTAAATCCTTGACTACTTAAGCAAGTTATCTTTCAAATAAGATTCATAACATACATGTAGTAATTTTGAAATTTTGTGTTTTTTTTTTTTAATGTCAATAGAAAGATATAAGTATTATCTACATGATTGTTTTTATCAAGTAAAATTCTTGTAAACAAATTGTGACAAGTTTATCAATAAGTATTTGTTTGATAATATATATGTATATATATAAATATATTCTTTTTTCTTTTTTCTTTTTATTGATTTTATTTTTTAATTTATACTACCAATTATATTAAGAAGTAAATTTTATTCTTATATTTTGATGCATTTGCCCAAAAAAGTTACTTTTAATTGTGTCCATGGATGTAAAGTGGTTTTTTTTGTTCTTGTTCTTTTTGCTTTGATTTTGTTGAGAAAAAAAAATAATTTCTTCTTTATTAATTTTTATTCTTATGTATTTTTATTTCTCTTTAATTTTTATGTTGATTTTATATATTTAATTTTGATTGTTTTGTATATTGTGAAATTTTAATTTTTAAATTTTTTAAAATCTTTTTATGTTATATGTATTGGTTTAATGTAGTTTAATAAATAATTAATTTTACTAATTAGTTGTCTACATCTTCTAAATATATATATATATATATATATATATTAAATTAATAACATCTAATTTAAAAATAGAAGCATGTTCTTAAAGTGATTTATTGCTTTTGTTTTTTCATATGTTATTATATAGTTGTTGGTCTTTTTAATATGTGATTAATCTATTATCCTTGTTATTATTTTTTATATTAATAAACAATTATCTGTGGAAAGTGATGACCTCCATAAGAGATTGTTAATTGCTGTAAGTTGCTCCATAGTGATAAAACATCACTATCTTATTTAACGAGGTAATTCACTTTACATTTGTGATTGGCTGTACATTAATTGAATTGGTTTTGGACTCGTATTGATATCAAGGTTTATTGAATCAGTTTTGGACTCACATTGGTATAAGGTTTAAGGTGATTTTGTTATTTTCTATACTTTTTGGTCAACTTAATTACTCCTAAGCTTTCATTGGGAAGTTAAGTTGTGACTAAATATCCTTCTTTGCTTATTTTCACAGTTGCTCTTATCTGTTTTTTGGTATGGTTATTAAGTACTTCTTGATCTGTAGGTGTCATGGACATACACAAAACCGTCTTAAATAAGTCGTGTACTACATGTGACTCTCTGTCCAGCATGTCAATTCCTCACTCTGCACTACCTCAGTGTAATGCGGTAGTTTTGGAATTGAGTCGTACATGACATGAACTTCAAGCAGACTCAATGACATGCAGGCTGGAAATTAACCAATATTTTAATCTTATACATGACTTTTATGCAACAAAACTTGGTCGATATCCATTCCATGAATTCTTCGTATGTCACATGCAAGCACAAGTTTCAGTATTTTTGTTGTCAATGACAATTCATTGGTAGTTTGCATGTGTATGTCAAAAATCACATCCTCAAATATACAATAACGACGGAGTGAAACCCGGGAGTAGGGGCGCTCTGCTCACATCTAGATAGGGCTGCAAAGATAGAACCAAGCTACAAGTGAAGCCTAGAGTGCGTTTACACCACTTCGTGATGGCCAGGTCCTGATATAAGATTCAGTGTGATGAACATGAAGCAAAATGATCACGACAAGGATTTAGCCACCTGGCTGATACAACAAAGAAACCAAATCACAATTACTCCCCTTTACAGCTTTACTACTTCTAACCTAAGGTCTTCCCGTAAGTGGATTCCAACCCAAAGGTGACTTTAGCTTGCCATCTCTTCGTCTTCCTCGATCTTAGGTGCGAGGTAGAATCGGATGTGACCCATGTCTGCAATTTTGTATTCTACAGCTACAGGAAGTTCTTTGGACATGCTCAAGGTGACAGTGCTAGACAATGGTGTGGCTTTGGTGAAAGAGTTCAAGTAGCGCAAAGCAAATGTCAAAGTAACAGGTTCTTGCATCTCAACCACAGTCTTCTCCTCTTCCTGCAAGGCGAATACAACAAATAAGGATGAGATGATCAAATTCCGAACTAATCTAAATTCCTCTTGTACAGTACCGAGTTGTAGTGCAGTAGGTTGATAACGTGAAAACATGCGGCAGTCAAAACTAACCTTATCGACGGATGTATTCTGTCTGCATATAATATTCGCACTCCCAATGTCTCCCCCAGTAGAGAATTTCACCCCTTCCTTGGTCACAGATATAACAACTGCAAAAAGAGAAATAAGTCAAATTCCCGTTTAAGAGACAGTAAGATTGGGGCATTCAGCAATAGTCGGTGCGAGTTTCTGCCCCTAGAAGAGACGATGAGGCGGAAACAGTTCATTTCTGCAACAAGCCGACATATGCAGCGCCAGGAATTGAGCCTGTGGAGTTGCATTACAATCCAAGCTACTATGTAGAACATAACAAATCAAAAGTCACCCCCTATCTTGTTCAATAGATGAAACTGTGGCTTGAGTGCTATGACCACCAGAAAAACACCTACCTGTGTCACCGATGGTGCTGAGATCCTTGCAAATACGAGCAAACTCTGCAGATGGCATCCTTACGATTGCTTCGTACTCAGTTTCGGGGATTCCTAAGTGCTCGCTGTCGATGTCCATCAGCTTCATCTCAAAGTCGGAGATTCTCTCTTGATCTGTAAAATTTCAATTCATAACAGAACGTAAGAAAAAGAAAAAAGAAAATCAGTTGTTATGCATTTAAATCAAAGAAAATAGCACATTAGGATCGGGAAATGACTAGATGCATGGGCTTTGTTGAAAAATGAGTGACAGGAAGATGACGGAATGCGAAGAGAAGGCCCCACAACGGATAATTCAAACAGACAAGTGAAGAACCAGCTACCATTAAAACTTCAGATAATTACACAATACTTCAAAGAACAGTAAATTCGAGTATGAAGCTATTTGTTGAAGGTATGAAGCAGACCTCATGCGGGTCACAAGACGTGATAGTCACCAAAAAAATGGAACAGGCACGAAAAACCAAGACCGGAACTCTTCTAAAACTGCACCTAGGGGAGGGTAAATACGCAACACAACTGTTGAGTAGAAGAAGACAACCATTACAGCGTCCTATCTACATACTTTTAAAGAGAATCCAAGCCCAAGCTAGAGGCAGATAAAAGATCAAGGCAAAAGGAACTCACTTGGGCTCTCGAACATGAAAGTTACAGAGTCACCGCCGTCATCTGCCTTAATAGTAATGATATCGTCGTTGCCAGCGCACTTCAGCATCTTAGCCATGCTGGTAAGGTTCATGCCCATGGAAATGTTGCGATCACATCTATAATGCTCAAAGCCCTCGGATCTCAGGAGCAACGCAACCAAAGCGACGTGACTGGAGTCCATGGCTTATCAATGAGAAACCCCGTCGTGGAGCAATCAAAATTGGCATCCGGTACCAGATCCTTGATAGCTTCCAAGACCTTCTTCAGCAGGCTTCCCTGCACAAGCCTAAGCTCCAACATGTTTCCCTACCTCACTAACTCCGCCACAACCTGAAAGAACACATTCAACCTCGTAAGACCTAAAGCATCCCCATTTGAAGAAAAAGGAAGGAAAAAGAAAAAAAGAAAGTCATATTATACCAGAAAACCTAAGACTCACATACAGTGAAACATCGCCAAGATCGAGGCATCAGCCCCATCACAAACATCGAAGATCCCATCACCAAACTAATCACAAATCAGAACAAAACCCACATCAAGGCTGCGAAAAGAGTGCCGAGCTCAACTAAGAGTCATTACCGGCGAAAGAGCAGACCACGCCGACGCACCTAACTCACCGCTAAACTGCAACACAGAGCAGTGAATGCGGCGAGGGCAGAAACGAGAGGAAAGCGAGAGATAGATGAAGAGAGAAATGGGAGCGAGGGAGTGAGAAGATGAAGGGTCCGACCGTGGGGGTGAGGAGAATCCAGGGGAATGGCGACGCGGATGAGGAACAAACGATAGGAGACAGCGTGGGAAAACAAAAAGGGCGGGAAGAGGGTTTTGGGCACCTGCCAGGGCAGAAGAGGACGTTGGATGGCGGGAAATTTGGCAACTACTTGCCGGGTATACACTTAAGCAGGGTATCTTCATCCCGGGGTGTTGTTTCGTTCCCTTTATGTTCGCTTCAAATTTGAACTTCTGACGTCGGTTGCTCTCCCACGTCAGCAAATGTTGGGTGAAGGTCGACGATTGTGTGATGTTCTGCAATTTTTGTGCTTTTGAATTTTCTATTATATTAAATAATACGTAAAATTATTTATTTTAAAATTCATCAAAAATATTTTCTTCTTTTATATAACGTACTTTTTTTAAAAAAATATTTAACATTTATAATATCATTATTGATACTCTAATACATATGATGTGTTGAATTGTAATTTTAAAATTACATAGCACAATTCTTCTTTTACACCATATTTATTAAATTTTAAAAATAAAGTTCTTATTTTAAATTAAAATTTGATGGTGTTATTGGACATTTTTTCCCAGGCATTGACTTGGTATTGCTCAAAATTATCTAATATATGGTTGAAAGTTACTTTATAATATGAAAATTGTAGTCATCTTACTTAAGCCTTTGGAGTTTTAACTTTTCATTAAATTGATCTAGTCAAATCTACATATTGAGTTGACTCCATCCTTGTGTATTATACTATAAGAAGAAATCTCATGTATCTAAATCCTAAGTAATTGTTACATCTTTAAAGACAAGATTTATATATAACAAAGACATAACCCTTTATCTTTATTTCTAAGAGTATTTTATCAGTGTTGAATTGATATCTTTACTAATCATCACTCCTATATTAAAAGCTTAGCCATCCAATCCTCTCAAGGTCCTCATAAAACCATACTATTTATGTATATATGTTTTTTAAAAATAAAATATTTTATATTTAAGTCTATTTTAGATTTATAATAAGTAATTATATTTTTTATTTTTATTTTAAAATTTTCATATTCATAGTAAAAAAAATTATATATATTTTACAAATAAACCTTAAACAGCTGCTCATTCCTGAAATATGTCATGGAACTAATGACAAATTCGTATTGTATAAACTACCTCATATGAAATAGATGGAACTGGATTTTGTTGGATTAGAATGAAAACCTGAGAGATGTAGCATACATTTACTTGTGCTGGAAAAATAGCGAATACTTTCAAGGGCTTCTTTGACTCATGGCGCTGGAGCACAACAGATTTGCCGAAAACGAAAAGGGAAATGGTGTTGAATCCAGGGTGAACAACCACGGCATCTTCATGGGTCGAGATAAACATTGCTCTACTCACTGCCTGGGCAAATGTAGCGGTGTATTTGATACGGTGATCTCTAATAAATGCTTACCCTCCTGAAGCTCACCTGAAAGCCAATTGTCGTTTTGCTTGTGGACTCTGAAACATTGAACACCCTATGAAGTGAGACCAGTCACTTGACATTATAACAGTTCCGTAATGGATATCCCGACCCTTAGGAGCTTTTACCCTCCAAGGTCATCCTGACAATGGCCAACAGCATATCATGGTCGATGTTTTTATCACAATCCACCGTATGAGTGCAGCACGACCTAAACTTCAGCACAGCTTAAGCTCTTATGCCAGAACAGTTGATTTCTAGCTCTAGAGGGAGCAGAAACCGAACTCAGTACCAGATCATGCTCACGTGTGGGTGGCGGTCTATGTTGAATAACAACCACAACGGCCATATTCCCAACTTTTCTGGGATGATTCCGGAGCAGTCAAAGACGAAACAAAACAAAACAAAACAAAACATTCGCAGTTAGGTCCACATACTCTCTTGAATCAGAGCCAGCTCATGAGATAATGAAAGCTGACACAGGGCATTTTTCAGTTAAGCTTCATCTGAAAAGCTTCATCGCAGCCTTCAGATGTGAGAAGAACTGCACAATCCGGAAAACACTGATGAAACTTGACGCAGGACGGCACACACTGCCGGCCATCTTCCAAAATGACCGCAAACTGGAGGGCAAAATAGAAAGAACCGCTGCACTACCAAGCACCGTCTCACGCGTAAAACCCATTTTTTTTTTGTTAAAGCAGTTCCGAGGGAAACAAAGACTCCTTCAGGAAGTGGGGTGGACAGGCCCATCTAACGCTGAACTGAACACGGCATTTATCGTCCTCGGCGCCGACGCGTGCTCGTTTGAAAATCTAGTGCGGCCTTTTACCTTTTGTCTATCTCGCTGTTTTCTTTTGAAGGAATACTCAGCATTGAGTAAGATTTTTCACTTTGAAGTATGTGAAAGAAAAATTGTAGTTGTAAAAAAACTTGTAAAGATTATCTGCTTGTTGTACTTTAAGAAAAACAAGGGAAAAGATCAAGAAATAAACAAACAGAATTCATTGAACTTCTGTTTGTGTTGAAATAGAACATTGTGGTACTTTGATGTACACTTCGTAACTATGTATCTCGTGTGCTTATTGCTTTTGGTTGTAGGATTCTACATTTTGCACTGTTTTAACAATTTTTACTTGTCTTATTTTTTAATATGCAATGTTTGTTTACGTCTCTTTTTTTCCAACAGAAATAAACCCAGACCTCAAGAAGTATAACTTCGGACTTTACATGGATGATACCATATGTTGTTGAGTAATAGTGACAGCAGATACAACGTGCACATGCAAGGAGAAAAAGCAGCTGGTAGTTGGGTCAAACTATCTATCAGAAAATGATAAAAGAAACCTTTAATGAAGAAGAAAGCTTCAAAGGTTGGGTCCTCTAGGACCTATATCATAGATGGGGGTTAAGGCTCTCTAATTCTTGGTTACTTCACACTGAGAATTGAGAACAAGCAAGTTTGTAGCCAACTTTATTACAATAATCATATTATGCAATCTAAACTTGAAGTTTTGATTTTTTTAATAGTTGACTTAGCCACAAATCCAAGAATGACTCTTCTGTTCAAGATGGCTTGGAAGAACTTAACATAACATTCTTTTATTAGCTTCGGAATCATGCCAAATCTTATTTGCAGAGTTAAAGGATTTATAAAATTTACATAGAAATAAAATTCTTCAATTACAGCCTAGAGTTTCGGTGTAAAAGACATTAGAGAACTGATCTCAATATTTTTTTTAAATGGAAGAAATAGATTTAATCATTTATTCGTTCTAGTTGACCTTGGATCTTAGTGTAGAGTAGTTCATTATCCTCATGTTCTTGGTGAAAGAACTGATTCATCTACCATGACCAAAGCAAATCAGATCTAAACAAAGGATTGAAATCGATTGAAAGACCAACTAAAGAAAAATAAGAACGTCAGTTCTTTTCTACTTAAGTCCTAAGAAGAATTAAACCTTTATGCACAATTCTTTCATACTAAGAACTAAATCATAGTTTTGTGACATTTCATTCTAATTAGCCATTTTCAATTGTAATCCTTCACTAAAAGCACAATGTTTCAAGCTAGACAAATCCACACCAAAATATGTAAATATATCTATATATATATATATATATTGTTTTCTTTCTGAGCCAACTGTAAACCTTGGAAGCAATCATGTGACCATGTCGAACTGGCATGCTTCCAGTTTTTATCTCCACCATGAGATTGGGAAGCGTTGGGCTTCTAGTTTTCTTGCAGTAGACTCATAAAGCAGCCTTCACTCACTGGCCGCACCGCGACTCAGTCCATTGATCGGATCTGGCACCAGTTCCGTCGACATGGAGAATTTCAGGTCCAGCTAAAGATCTACTGGATGAGGCAGTAGGGGAGCGGTGGCAAACATTATGGCTTCACCACAGCAAGTAACCAAGACTTGATCAGACGGAGCAACTTTGTCTTCTTCCACTGGGTAAGCTTTGGCTCTGACCTGGTCCCCAGATGCGTGTGTTAGAACGGCCGTAGCTGCTGCTCTCGGATGTACCACAGTATTCATACTCTTGAAAGTGAGTTAGTCCAGCTCTTTCAACTTTCCACCGTTAGCGGACCCCCTTGACTAGCCGACTTTCACCAACTGACAATGGTCTCAACATCGATCCAATACAAACGGAACCAACAGCTTAACAAGATAAAAAGAAAACAATGCCTACAAGCACTCTCAGGTTCAACGCCGTCGTGATCTTCATCTCGTCGACAGAGTGCCAGCTAGTTCGAAGCTTGCATCCTCGAATGCATACGTTGCTCATGATATCTCCCACGCCAGGTCTAGTCACTGCAATTCACATCATGAGGGTGTTGAACCGACTGTGTACAAAAGTCATGGTCCGGTCATGGGGTGAATGCTGCTGCTCGAGCTCAGTAGTATCGTCTAGCCAGCAGTTGACTGCGACGATCACGCAGATTGGTGAAGATGGTCCCGTGGAGCTCATGTGTTACTGCATTTTGCGAGAGAGTGATCGACGCCTGGCACAGTACCTGCAGTACATCCGCATGCCCAGTTTCCTGAGGCTTGGAATGGTTCTACTCCGGCAGCTTGGCGGGGCAAAAGTGGTAATATATTCGAGACCGAAGGGGGCCTCATAGGTTTTCTAAATAGATATATACATAGGTTTTCTTAATATCTTATGTCTAGCTAGTGTGCTCCGTTTCACCGTTTAACTGAGGCCACCTTCGGCATCGAATATATCACCACTTTTGCACCGCCAAGCTGCCGGAGTAGATCCATTCCAAGCCTCAGGAAACCTAATATCATGACATTCCCGAATAGCAGGCTATATTGTTTTCACTGAGGTCGTTCTGATGCTCTGTGAGAGTGTGACCCACATCATCTTCTCTTGTGCTTCGCATGCAAGTTTACAAACCTCACACAATTGATGGAGTTGACGCTCCACTTTCAGTTGCAACATTTCTTCCCGTCCCTCTTTGCTGCAGGATAAAGCTACTGCGTTAAATGTAGATCCATGTTTGATCATTTTTCGGTCATTATTTGCATCAAACTTGCGACTCTTAACATTGTATGGTCAATTATTCGAAGAATTGATAATGGTGAACTGTATTTTTTACAATGTGAATTGATAATGGTGAACTTTATTTTTAATGTGAATTATTATTAAAAAAAATTAAGTCAAAATTATAATATTCATCGGGCACTAATGCATACTCAAAGATGTTTCTGAAGTCTTGCAATAATGCAATTTCATCAAAATTTGTTGAAACAAGAAGAGTAGTAGATGTTGATATCACACTTCGAAAAGTCATCCACAAATAAATTGAGGTAAGAAAAAAGAGTGCAAGTGTATTGGGCAATAGTTTAGGCATCCTGCTGAAGTCAGCTTCAAAAGATGCTACTGAGTGTAAGCTTGTTAGAAGATAAAGATGTAATTCTTGTATAATTATAGTCTTATTAGTCCATTTTGATATAGTATAAATTCAAATCAAATATTTATTTCGAAAAATACTTCATAAAATACACAACATTCTTGGGAAATTTTAATAATAATTTTGTAAAATTATATATGTATATGAAAAGTATCTATGAAAAATCTAATATTGGCTTGAGTTATTTATGCAAAAGATAATGGCTTACAACTAGTTAATTTTTAGAAAATTTTAGAATTGATGTGTTGGTTTGAAGGTAGAAAAAATGGACCACTTTTACAATACAAAAGCAAATGAGGTGTAATTTATGAATAATATTGCAAAAAATAACCAATAAAACGTTGTTGCATCATATTATTTCATAAAACGTTGTTGCAATGTATTGTATTTGAATATTACGTAAAAAAAAAAAAAAAAAAAAAAAAAAAATCATAAGAAAAAATTGCTTTTTGATTTTTTTTCTTCTTATAATAGAATATATAACAAACATGTTTGTTAGCACTAACATTGGTATAAAAAAAAACTAAGAAGTGCTAGCACTTATGTTATAAATATATACTAACAATAAGTGGAATTTTTCTTTTTTCTTTTTTTAGTTAGTAATTGTCTTCTTATATAGTTAATATGATTAATGTATATATATTGTCATTGCAAGATGTGATGCAAATTACTATAGATGTGATGCAAATTACTATAGATGTGATAATTTTGTTATTCTTTGACAATTGATTTTTTGAAAGCTTATTTAAAATAATTAAATTCAATAATTATATATATTTTTTGTATTATTATAATTTTCTGTATTCAAATTAGCATAAATTTTCAATGGAATTAGATCAAAAGATCTTATTAACACTGAATTATAGAATAAATTTACATTGGTAGTCTTTATATTAAAAGAATAGAATAGAGAGCTAAGAGAGGATAAATCTTCGATGCAATAAAAAAAATTTATAAAAAATGCCTTACTAAATCACAAGAAGCAAGAAAAAAAGCACATGAAGGATGTCTACTTTGAGGTAGATGATGAAATGCTTATTAATACAAACCACTAGAGAACATCCAACAATCTTTTACAAAAATCAAATTATTTCTATCAGATTGGATGGATTATTAATAAATATATATATATATATATATATATATATACATTCAAAATAATTAGCATGATATCTTCTATTCTATTTTTTAACATTAAAGAAATTTGAAAAAGATAAAACAAACTTCCACAAAGAAAAACTTAAGCAAGCATCAACACAAAAAATGTAGACTGAATAAATTAAAGAAATTCATGCCATCATTAGAAAATGCATGAAAATTTAAACAGAAATCTAATACTTGTGTATTTACAAATATTTTTTTCTTTAAACATATAAATAAATTGAAAAATATAAATATTGACACTTACAATATTTGGTAATACAATATAATAATTGTTCTAGTAATGATCAAGTAGCTACCAAAAAAAAAGGACTTGTAAATAAGAAGTAGCAACTTGAAAATATTTAATCTTCTAAACTAGGGGAGATGTAATAAAAAAATGTAGAATACAAGGGAACTTACTTGGTCTTAAAAAAAGAAGCTATTCTTGGTCTAAATGGAAAATCCACTTTGACATTAAAAAAACACTTGGATCTTTTACAAAAGAAAATAAATTTAAATTTAAAAGCAAATGAAAAGCAATGTGTCCATGATAAAAGTATTTTTAAACAAGACAACAAAAACATAGATGCTGTTAAAAGAACTTTCAATACAAATATACAATTATATATTTGTTCATTATTATAATAATTAGAAGCTCCACATCAAGAAGCTAATTATTTTAATACTGAACAACAGCTTCTAATCAAGTATCACATTGAGATAAATATTAATTATAGATATGCATGGCTTGCGGAAATTAAATATTAGAAAGTAAAGCATTAAGTCATCACACATATTGGGTCAGTATAGACACCACTTACTTCCTCCTCTTTTGACATGTAGTTATTATTAACACTTTTATAGAAACAACATACACATTTTAGATGTAGATACAATCTGTCGAGTAAAAATCTTTTGCCTAGGGCCCAATACAATCTTTTGTACTGTTTTGTGTCTACACTTAGACTACTTATTTTTTTGAAATTCTTTCACAACCTTTATCTTTTCCAAAAATGCAACTGAATAATACAAATCTATGAAAAAATAAAATGGCGCTCAATATCTCAATTTTTCAATTCACTACATCATAATAGCCAAAAATATTTTTATGAAGAAAATTAAAACTAAAATGAGACCAAAATTGAGATTAAAACATGTACTAAATAACAAATAATAGATAATCATAATTATCATAACTAAGATATTTATTAACAGTTAGTTAATTTCTAAGTTACAAATTCCTTATGCATATTAAAGAGAAATGACTTTGATACAGTGGCTATATTATCAATGTTGACAAAAAAATCCACATTCTAATAAATCCTATGGAGCAAAAAATTGACTCCCAGTAAATTTGTACTGATGGGGTATGAGAATGAAGTTGACAATAGAAATACTCATATGGTTGATAATGGCAATAAAAAGTAAATTAACTAACACTACGTTCTCCAAGCCATACGTGAATAATAATTCTGGTAAGTAATCACACTAAATCATGTTGCAATAAATAATTCTTCCAAATTCTAACTACATCCTTTTTGTATATATGGTTTGAGAAACTTTGATGACGATGTCTACACAGATGTTTGGAAGTATTATAAAGTTATATTTTTCGAACATGCAAGAGCCTTGAGGACGCAGCAGAGTCCAATAACTTGCACTGGGATGGATCACAGGCTTTTGAGGTGGAAGCGTTGATGAACTGAGTCTAGTTAGGTTGTAAAAAACTTATCTGAAAGCGATTTACTTCGAGCTGTGAATTTGGGATAAAATGTGATTTGTACATGCAATCTTACAAGAACGTCTCGAGACAGATCCCTTTAGTGGTGTCTTTAAATTGAGCACTCTTACATCAACTTCAGAATAGAGAAGTTACAGTACCTTACAATGTGTGAGGATTACTATGCAGCTTGCCCATGATGGTGACACAAGATCACCACTCGGCATGAATTCTTCATTTGGGAAGATGTGCGTCTCTTTCTCGTCAGATGTTTGACCTACTTTAACGATTGAGGCATCGTCGGGTTGTAAAAGCAGTTGCCTTCAGACATTGGATACAATTGTTTGCAACTGTAACCTCAACATCAACCGTGTTATTTTCGAAAGTCCTCCAAAGCACAAAAGATTCTCCCCTGGCAATGGAAAGTGATCCTCCGCAGTGATCATTCACGTCTGCTTTAAACAGCAGCTGAAGCTCGGCAGAAGTCAATGTGGTGCCGTGAGCTGTCCATGTGCCACTTGCAGGGAGATAAATTTTATAGGGGAAAAGGACAAAGCATCAAGCTTTGCAACGACCCACCTCAGCGCAGCAAACTCGAACCTCAGCAAATTGCAGCTTCAACTTCCAAATGTCCTTCCATTGTTTCTCCGAAACCATCACCTGCTGAGGGCAACAAGAGCCAGCTAACGCATGTCTCTATTGCCACCACTACTGCTTAACCCTATTCCTGAGTAACAGCCTTCTTGCTACTTCAGCCATAGTCACCTACCAATCTGTCGATGACAAAACAACACTTCAAGCATAAGGGACAGTCTACCAAACGATAAACTTGTACATGGGCACATTTGCAGCAGGAAATCTCAGTGAAAAGAGAGCCAGAGAACATAAGATACGCACCCAGTAATGACAGTCTGGCATGGAAGATTCAGAACAAAAAGCCCTCATCTTTGAACTCAAGCTAAGCATAGAGAAGCTTGAAGAGAGAGTGCACAACAGCGCGTCATGACTCCCAGGGCTCGCCGATGATGTTGCCAGTGCAGGTAACTGTTTCTAACGATGTAGCAGGAGGGACTGCGGGAACGGATCGCCGAAGGAGAAGCATGCACTTCCATTGGCGAAGTCGTTCGCAAATCTCGGAGAACTCGGGACGCTCGTTAGGATTACCCGCCCAGCACTTGGCCAGGTATTTTGCAAGGTAGGGTGGACAGTGAGGAGGAAGCTCTGGACGCTGTCCAGCTTTCACTTTCTGGTAGACCTCGGCGAGAGGGACGCCTTGAAAAGGTATTTCCCCAGTGAGGACTTCATAACAAGTCATGGCGAAGCTGTAGACGTCTGCAGACCAGGTGTATTTGGTAACCATTTGCTCGTCGCGGAAGACCTCAGGAGCACGCCACCGACAAGCGTCGGTTTGAAACGAGCTCGCCAGCAGCATTTCGAGCTTGAATTTCGCTAGCCCCACGTCCGCGAGCTTGACGTGAAAATACTCCCACGTTGGAGCGGACGCGTCCCCGGTTTCGCATACCGTGATGAGCACTTTGCGTGCGCGTATGTCGCGGTGCATAAGCTTGCAGTCTTTCAAGTATTGGAGGGCCTCCGCGATCTGGAGCATGATGTCGACCGACTGAAGAAGGGAGAAGGGCTGAGAGCTGCCTTGGGAATTCGTGCACCTTTGGTCGATAAGCGTACGAAGATCCCTCCCCACGACTTCCATCACAAACATGGCAGCTCTTCGTTCCTGATTGTATGCGCACCCGATCAGCTTCACAATGTTCGGGTGCTGAACTCCAGCAACGAGCGCCGCCTCATATTCCAGAACTACGGGATCAATCTCCCCGGTGAGCACCTTCACTGCCACGGGCTCCCCAAACCACTTGCACTTCAAGACCACCCCTAAGCTCCCCTGGCCGATCGTGTCGTGAAGCTCTAGCTGATATTGATCGATCCAAAACGAGTCCGGGGCAAGGTTCGGTGACGGCTCTGGCCCCTCCAGCTTTAAAATCAAAACTTCGAAGACATAACGATCCGGCTCCTCCTCTATAGGGTTGTACCAGGTCGCATTCACAATGTATCTCAGCGTCAAGCACATCGTCTTCTTGTCGCTCGCCTCTCTTTCCTCGTCCGCCTTCAACGAGTAGAGATGGGTGTAACGGATATGCCGCTCCTCAGTAGCCCAGTGGCTGAATGCAGAGCTCAGAAGCGAAGTCGTATGAATGCTGGAGCCGTTGCGCCAGATATGGAAGGCAAACTCCACAACGTTGAGGCTCCACACAAACTCCCGGATGTTGAACGCAAAAGGCGACATTGACCTAAAACGGGGGAAGTCGGGGCCAATGCAAGGGAGAGTGAGCGCCATGCGCCACCAGTCTTGGCGGCAGCACAGCTTCACGAGCATCTCCCCGTCGTGCATGACGTGTCGGAGCTGAACAAGAGAGTCGATAAAGAACGACATCGCTTCGGAGCCGATCCGAAAGCTCTGCTCAAACGCCCAGTTCGGATGCTCCACGGCTCGCATAATCTTCGTCTGGTAGCGCTGGAAATTCTCCTCCGCCATAAAGTAGCACTTGGTGAGGTATGACACTTGCGAGTGGTAGATCGTCACCTGATTATGCGCATTTTCCAGACGACTGCACAGGAAAAGACAGTCATTCATAGCGGCGTACAGTTTGTGAACCCACTCCCGCTCCCCGGATTTCATCGCTTCCAACCTTGCAGGGGGGCGCAGCAGCTGCAAATCCCGCTCGGAGTTCAACGGCGGTGGCCATGCCTCCGACTGATTGTCCTCATAAGCTTCAAAATCATCCCCCAATGGTAGCTCCTCGATGTAATCCAACTCCTCCCCGTTGTAGTCATCAAATCCAAAAGGATCTGAATCCTCTCTGCTGCTGGCCATTGCTTTATCTAGCATTGACCCAGCGCTCTGCCCATCTGTTCCAATCGCCCTGTCTTTGCTTATTGAATACTGCCTGCTAAACAACTCGCTCTTGAGGATCCCCTGCAAATGCATTTTGGAGTCGTCCAACAGGTGCAACCCATAATCGAGGATACACGCCCTCGTCATTGTGTGGAGCATGCTCTCTGCCATTAGGCTTGGCTTGCTACTCGGATACTGACTTTCTCGACTCATTTTGAAGTTTTCCCTGAGTTCCTCCAGGTTCTACAATACTTGCGCCTTCATTTAGGTGTCATTCGTCGTCAGAAGCGTCGAACTTGAAGCTACAGTCGCTGCGCACAAAGCATCTGTGACTACTTTCAATGCTTAGCAATTCTACTTGCCTTGCAGATCCTCTCTCCTTAATTATGACCATCTTCGTGACCTGGTTTGGCTTCGATTTCATTCGCAATGACATATTGTAGGGACTTGAATGATGCATTGAACATTCGGTTACGGTTGATCGATCATGCTTGGGGTAAGCAGTTGCTCACCCCGTTGGATTGTTCAAGCAGGACATTTCCTTTTTTACTGGTGCATACGATTCTCCCAGCACCTTATTGCATCAAATGTTGCCACTCGAGTGAATGTCCATTTCACTGCAAGGCAAAAGAAGGCAATCCCACAGAGTCAGTATGTTCCGGAGTGGCCTGTAGAACTAGTGATAGCTCACTAAAACAATTGCCACACTGTGTTACGGTTGAATCGAAGCAGAGACATAACACAAAATTAGTCGGGTAAAAAACTGAAAACTCCAATAAGACATTCTGGAATCTGCACGATAAAACATTGAATCTAAACCATTAAGAGGTAGGAAACAATCTCCTAACTGTATGAGCACATATCCCAGCTGGAAGAGAGTGTTCAAGTCATGCTCACTTGACCATCCAAGTGTCAGATATGCTCCAAACCTAAATGCCATAAAATTCCGTGAATCGACTGGCACTAACTGAAACGCGTGTAAAAGTACTGGGAAAGCGTTCTGTTCACACAACAGTGCTACTGCCCAGCACAAACCACAGATACATCCTAAGCCAAGACACTATACAAAGGGAGGAGAGGGACGAAGGATCCCTGTCCCGTAAACGCTATCCGTTTCAAACTGACACAACGAGGAACATCAGAAACCATCGGCCATGGTGCTAGAAATCAGACAGCAAAGCTTTGTGACCTAATCCTGCTGCCAGCAAATAAAAAAAACTAGATTCAAGGCACAGATTGTCAGGCTAAGATTAACTGGAAAGCATTGCACTCCAGAAAAATCCCTACGTAAGTATGGGCAAGGAGGGCCTAGTACTTGATCCTTTGGTTCTGCATTCTAAAACTCTCATTCGCATGACCCAGAGTGCCGATCTGAAGACTATTCGCGGAAACTCTATCCACGGCACGGCTCATACTTGTCCATACTGCAACTGAATTGCATCCTCAAAAAATCTTCCACACAAAACTAGACGGCCATGACGACACCCAGGATTAGCTAATGAAGATATGACGCCAGGAGATTGGCACCCTGGTTGAGGGGGCAAACACGGGGCGTGATCAACAGAAGGCAGCAAGAGAGAAGCACTGAAATCGCTGTGATCAGACGGTCAACTTACGTTTCTAATTCGCCTCACCCTTCGAAAGATCCATGATCTGTGGAAGATCATACTCCGGGGTTCAGCCGCACTCGCATTATCCCTCAAAGCTCACCCGCATCAGTTACAGAATCATCAGCCGAGTGCGGATCCCTCCCCTCATACTTCAATGGAAACCCCTCGACAACCCAGTCAATCGTCTCGCTGGATTCAACGCTCAATCGTCACTGCGGTCTATCGACAAGTTGGAAGCACAACTAAATCCCTTTCAAGGCACCTTCTCTTCCAATCACAGTCACGCGCTTCCTACTCTAACGCTCTCTCTCTCGAAACACTAACAAGGATAATAGCTGGTTAGCAACAACTCTGAAACCAAAACTCGCACTTTGTTGTCAGCCTCGATCAAACACAGCCCAATTCTCTCTTCCCCACATCTGAGTCTTAACCATCCTAAACCAAACTAAGTTCCAAGGCACAAAACGACAGGCAGGTGAGTGGAAGGTGGTAGAGCGTGCCCGGCTATGGTTATGAGGCGAGGGAGCAGAGGAGGCTAATCCCACAGGAAAGAGTTGGAATGCGAATGACGACGACGATGATGACGTTGTTGTTGTTGCTGCTGCTGCTATTGTTGTTGTGGTGGTGCAAAGAACTTCGGCCCTCCATAGCGAAGGCCCACGGCCCAGCCATGACGAGACGTGGAATTGGTCAAGCGTCTGCCAGGCTCTCGACTCTAAGACGAAACTCTTCTCACTCTTCACTTAGCCTTCTCCCCCTCACGTAATAACAAAAACCCTCCTGAAATCCACAACTTTTGTGGATTTCAAGAGGGGCTGCGTGGCAGCGACGAACATTCGCTGCCGTGCTTGGTGCCGCTCACCATCCATTTTACTCCCGTGGTTTCAAGCTCTGCTTCCAGCCTGTGACCGTGATGATGTGGGTGCATGTCAGGTTCTCCAGTTTCACCCTCTCTGGCTGCCAAAGAGCCAGAAACACAGGAGGGAGAGAGAGAGAGGGAAAGAGCCACCCACAGCCCCTGTTTCGCAACCCAGCTCTAATTTTCAGTTTTCTGTGACGCTATGCAGCAATCTCATTGGCAGCCTTGTTCCAGCCATGTGCACGTACACACAATACTGGAAATCCAGTATCTGGCATCACACACATTATGCCTCTTCGTCATAACCTCCTCCTCCTCCTCCTTCTTCTCGCACCGCCCCGCTCTTATGATGCAGTAACTGTCAGCTCCTGCGTCCACTTTTTTCTAGTACAACGAGGGATGGGCTCTGCCATTCTTATCGCTACGCCATCTACACCTTCACCTGCGACGCGACGCCGGAGTGCCTGCGCGCGCCCGCCCGCGAGAGCGAGACTGGGGCTAAGGGGAACGCGGGTGGGAATTCGAGGTTCTACGAGCTCCCAATGCTAGGGAGCGTGTTCCCCGATCCAAAGAGGAAAATCTGAAACCCAGATAACTTCTCTATTGCTTGCTTTCTATTTTTGTGTTTGTTATTTTTGTTTTGTTTTTGGCCTTTTTTTTTCAGATAGAGCTCATGCTTTCCTTGTTCAGGTTGATCTTATCCCTAACTCGGGACCCCCATATTACACTGCCCTAATATAGACATCTTTGGCCCCTCGCATCCTCACACTTGTCGAGTTTTGGAAGAGTGAGCAAAGGGGGTGTGAGATAGTCACATAATCATAACTGGAATGGATACTTTGATATTAAATAAATAAAATAAATAAAATTTAAAAGCGTATTTGTTCTCTCAAGAGTGTGTAGATAATACTGTTGTGATGGAATCCAAACTTTGTGGGTTCTCTTGTTATTGTTTTTAAATGCCATTTAAAATTGATCAATTTGTGTCTTTATGGTTTAGATTTTGTTAGTTCATTTATTGTTTTCATTGTTTTTATTGTTTTAATTCCAAATAATTTATTCCAAATAATTTATTTTTATTGTTTTGTGAACCCATAGTTCTATTTATAGTACTTTCATTAGAGACTTGTCATAGTAATCCTCCTGATAACAATAATAATAAATTATTTGGAATAAATTGTCTCAACATACTTATTGTAATTAATCTTTGTGAATGTGTATTACAAAGAATATAGAAAATATCTATTTATCTATTTAGAAAATTAAGTTCTGTGAGTATTAACTATATCTTTATCATCACACCCTATCTCCAAGAAAAAATTATGAAATTACTACTAAATTTTGGAGATGTTAGAAAATACACAACACATGTTATACATATGTAAATGTGTATTTACGGTGTTCCCTCTAATAACTAATGGTGGAAAACTAATATCTTCTATTAATTATTCAAAAAAATGGGAACCAACTGTGTTCTATAGTGCATGATTTATAATTTTAATTTCTGATAATTAACTGGTTTTTATTGACTTTTATTGTTTCTTAAAGATACTTAATAGAGACCATGTGGCTGTATGTGATTGGACAAAGTAAAGCCACATGGTTGCTAAGGTGGAAGCAAGTAATCTACATTGCAGGGCCCTAACAAGGATGATTGCTATCTTGCCTTGAAGGCACCACATATGATGATTAATAACCTATAATAATGAATACTTTTTCTTGTAATAGATGATATTAATTAACCAACAAAAACATTGTCTTAATGTATACACATATGTTTGTATATGTAGTGTTTATAGACTACATAATATTTTATCATCTTGTCATGATATTTTATTCTATGGTAAGTGATATAGTTTATAAATATATGCATACAAATAATTCCTTTATAAGTTTGATAATATCATACTATACCAACACACAAATTATATATATATATATATATCACAAGATATTGTGTAATGTTTTGTGATAAAACAAAGTGATGCAAGTATTGATTCCAATACAATTACTATTTTGTACGGTTCATAAAACAGAACATGGTACACATGATGATGGTTGCAAGTGATGCACAACTAAATTACATGTTTACGGGTAGAAAACTTGGTAAGTATGCACTAACCAAATACCAAATGCAAAATTTCAGAGGCTAAGTGAAACAGTACATACACTGAACACCATGCAGATTACATTTCATTGTCAATTTTATTTTCTTCTGTTGAACACCATGTTCAGAACTGGACAAAAAGTGATACATGTATGTTTTTACACTACAGCATGTGATAAAGATGCACACACTAAACTATGTACTCAACATCTAGAAGAAATACATTTCATATGTACATTAGTCAAATAACAACATTAGTCTAACTCAATCCTTTGATGTATATAGTACAATAAATGTATTTTTTAATTTTTTTAAAGCAATTGGTACTCAAGAATGCATCATATATTTAAATATAATTATCATCAACATGAATTTTAAAATTTAAGATTTAATGTAAATATTGCTATGAATTTTTAGTTTTCACTCATACATGCACAATGTTATTTTCCTTTTCTTTTTTTTTTAAGCTTTCAATAGATTTGTTCAAACATGTAAAAAATATTCTGTAATCACTAATAAAAATGTGTAGAAAATAACACTAATTAAGTTGTTGTGATATGTCTCAAACGGTACTTCTCCATAAAAGCTTTGGGCTTGGCAGTGCAATTTCATGAATACACATTAGCTAATATTCAATTTTCTTTCAAGCATTATCAACAATAAAATAAGCATACTTGAAAAATCAGCTACTTAACAAATTTTGAAAAAATAATGCTTAAAACAACACAAATGCTAAATAATAATTTGGCCATAAAGTGTATATGCATTCTACCTTCAACTCATTGTTGCATATCTTTACATACACCCACTTATACAAATATACACACTCACACACTAATGAGCAACCCTTGGTTTTGAGAGTGGCGTCTATCATGAATGTATAAATAATACCCTACTTCATGACTCGTTCTAGATCCACCTCATCAAACTTTGTATTGAAGTTGTTGGACTCATATTCATGGATTGATACCACGACAAGAATCTCTCTTTACTCATCCTTTCCGACTACTTACCAAGCAGAAAAAGGAATAACAAAGCATGCAACGCAACAAAATCCAGTGCTTTCCAAAAACAAAATATGTGAGAATATTTTTACAGCCTCAAAAACCACAGAACACAATGCTGTTTGTGCAATACTGAACCTGCCAGCTTCCAAACGGGTGAAGTTTGTGTCTTGCAAACGTCGCTTAACCCAACAGCTCTTGCACTGATATTCAACTAGTGATTGGGAATCCTTGGATTCTGTGGACCTATTGACTCTTCATAACACCGAGAATCGACTACCGAGATGTGCATATTATGCTAAGCCTCAAAAGCATGTTCATGTATGTTAGCTTACAGCAGGGTAACATGAAAGATAAACTGGGGTTGAAATCCCTGTGCAGGAGCATGTGAACAGTTTCCATGAGAAGAAAGATATGGCGTGGTGAAGATGAAAGGCTGGGCCCCATGTGGTAATGTCTAACCTTCTTGGCAGCCGACCAAACGCTGGCCACCATGCAATGGCCTAGCTCCAACAATTTTGTTCTTTACGATGAGATGGCCCAGTTGGAGCCGTCCACTTCAACCTTGTCTTCTAGGCCATTGCATAGCGGCCACCACTTTGTATGGTCCACGAGGGTTTCTGTCAGTTTGGTGCAAGCGAAAGAGGGACCCTTGGACCGATTCATCGCTGGTGGAAGCCTTGCATGGCAAGTCGACCCACACCCCATTGTCAACTTTTTCCAATACAGTTGCATCTGTCTTCCTAGACTTTCGATTCAAACGCCGCTCCTTTCACATTTGAAGCGGAAGCGATGTACATACATAAAGTCAGCGAAGCGTAGAATAGCTGCGCTTTTGCATGAGTGGGCACAGAAACCAGCGTTTCTCTCTTGCGGTGCTGTGGACATCCATGGTCGGTTCTGTTTCTTGAAACCTATTACATGGACCAATTCATACACCAACGCCATGTTCAAAAATATGGAATGGTTCAGGTTGAATTCCGCCATTCGTAGTGTGAATTTCTGCCAAGCAGAGAGAAATTCGCGTCTGGATGACTCCTTTGAACAAAGTAGGTAGTTCGAATAGGACGAGACGTTCATTTCTGGGTTCAGTGACAAAGAGACTGATTCGCCACTAGTAAAGGCGAGGTTTGACATCCATAGAATTCGCGCGTGCACGAAAGAGGCCCAGTCTTCTGCGCGTGCACATAATTGAACATATTCTGGTCCAAACACAACGCCAAAGATATGGGGAAAAGGGGTAACAAACCCAAGGGGACCGGTTTCCAATTAGTTGACAGCAATATCTCCTGAAAGTGCTACGACAATCTCAGACTCAGCTTGTACAATTAGTTGACGCAATCAAACATCACACTTGAAAAGATTGAAGAGCCTGCCTGTCACCTCAGACTTCGTTGACAAGCACTTACCGTTGCACTGAAGCTAGTAGCAGAGAGCTTTGCGTTTTGAATGGACGACTGTAAACAGAACAATCCACAAGCAGAGTCTGTTGCAACATGCACTTGTACGCAGCTTCCTAACTTCTATCGTGACCAGGTCTCTCTAATCATGTGAAATGCATGATCCAATTTCTCATTCGTACCCAACAATCCACAAGCGTTGTTCTCATGTCACAAGATGAACAAGAGCTTCCGTTCAGATTGAAAGTGCACAGAAGCAGAATTGTAATAAATTCACTCATCACAAGATACCAAGTCCATGACACAATTCTTGAAATAGAACCCGCCCCTTCGTTCTGATGATTTCAGCGTCATTCAGATACAAACTCGTGCGGCAGGAGTACCCTGTGTTTTTTCGCAGCAGGAGAAAAAAAAAATCATAAGTGCAGAACTACCACCGCACCCCACAATGTACTAATTAAGGAGGTTTTCGTGGATTTCATTTAAGAAACGTACACATTCCGACTCAATTATCCTACAATGCTCAGCCTTTATACTTGTAAGACCATCTCTCTCGAAAAAATGTAGCCCCTCTACTTCTACCGACCTCTGGTTCCTTCAAAGTTTCTTTTAAATGAATGTTAACCTCGAGAAAATCACTACCTGAAGCAATAATAGCGATGGGATACCCAAATCAAGAGTACATACTACGTTTCCGGCGGTAATTGCTCAGCGCTGCTCGTTCTACATTTCCTTAAAAATCCTTGTCACCATCACCAAAAATCAAGACTCAAACTCTTGATCGAGCAAAAAGTTACGTTGATTTCATTGATTCCCAATAAACATCCTTGCGCTCCCAAGACATTGCCGGGCTCTCGTGAGAGGGTCCATCAGCT